TAACATGCATCATGTGTTTAGACCATCATTCTAGCATGTTTTGGCTTAACTCCAAGAAGCTTTTGTCCATATTTTAGCATGCTCTAGCTTCGAGTTGAAGTTAAGCCGAGATTTATTCCTTAATTCACTTGTTGAAATTCGTAGCAATTTACAAGTTGGAATTAAGCTGATTCCTTATCTTCACTTGTTGAAATTTGTAGCGATTTACAAGTTGAAGATACGCCGAGGTTATTGCTTAAGTTCTCATAGCAATGTGTGGGTTACTTAAACCCTAGGGAGGATGCTTAACACTTGTTGAAATTTGTAGCAATTTACAAGTCTATGTTAAGCCGACATATGATCACCCACTGAGGTATACAGAAATTTGCAGGTTGATATAAAGGCTAAGTATATTGTTTACTACTTGTTGAAAATTTGTAACAATTTACAAGTAAGATAGATCAAGATCACTGTTTGATACTTCTTTGAGAAGAAACTTGCAAAATTTACATTCAGAAATATATGTTTTATACTTGTTAAAATTCATGAAAAGTTTGCAGGTCGGTATCTTGCCGAAGTTTAAGTTTTATAGTTATACCCGAGGTATGTAACCCCGAGAAGATTGCACAAAGGAAGCGACATGAAGAAGCATGCAAAGAACTTCTAAATACAAGACTATGCAGAAACCAGTCAACAGAACATCACAACATTAAAACATCCATAGAAAAGAACAGTTGCAATTACATGTTGAAAAAAACCACGTCGGCCATAAGAAGAAGTTTTGCATTGTCCAGAAATTAAGAAAAGTACAAAAGTGCAAAGTACAGAAAAAGATGGAAAAAGTACAAAAGACAATTTTCTCAAGATTCTTCACTGTTAGCCACTGCAGGGACTGGGACCTCGGACGATTCTGGTGGAACCTCGTCGGCCACTTTGTCCGCTTGTATCTCGGCATCAATCTCTGCTAGTGATTCCTCAACACTTCTTTCTATCAAGAGAAGATTGGACGATAGATGCCCAGTGGCAGTTTCCTTGGTTGCCTCCTTGGCCTCATCACCCTCCTCATCCAAAGTTAAGTCCATAATCTGCTCAGTAGGAGGAGGGGACTTGACTATGACGGCATCCTTGGGTTTTCTCACCAAGGCTTCTTCATTGGTTTCCTTATCTTCATCCTCGGCGTCAGCATCAGATTCTGATTCACCTTCAGGTGGAGGTGGGAATGGCAAAGGGATGGCATCAGCATTCCGAAGGGGCGAGTCAACAGGGAGATCAAGCTTCTTTATCAGGGACATCCAACCTAGGGAAAATCCCCTGTTGCATGCCTGCCTGACTTGAAGCTTATAATCTTCTGCGACGTCGGCCATACCTTGGGCGTAGGCCTTTTCATCGGCCTCTTTGACTTCGGCCTCTTTCGTGGCCAGAGCTTGCTGGAGTTCTTTCTCCGCTTGGGCCTTCTGAGCCTCGGCCTCTCTTTTCTCGGCCTCAGCAACTTTTCTAACGGCCTCAGCAGATTCAGCCTTCTCAAGAGCTAGAGTTTGAGCTTTAGTTGCAGCCTCGGCTTGATCCTCCAGTTTTTTCATTTTTGCTTCAAGGGACTTTATCTCTCTCTTCATGGAAGATGCTTCCCTTTTCATATCAACCAACCTTTGACGATTTTCAAAAGATTGCATTGAAAATGAATGGGCATGCTGAATGGCCTGCAGAAAAAACAGAAATGTGAGACAGTACTCTCAGTAAAGAACGGAAGAAAAAATCACAAGTACAAACAGAAATACTTACTTGGACGGAGTGTTGGAGCATGAGAGCGTAATTCTCATACTCACTAAGCTTAGCATTTCGTTCCAAGTCATTCGGAAGGAGAAGAGCAGTACTGAGGGCGACACCAACGTTAATATCGTCGGCACTTTCACTAGCCATAATGGGCCTATCCTCCAGGGATAGATCAGGGGCCCAGGGGACATCGGGCTTCTTTGAAGCCGAGGTCGTCGCAAACGATGACCTTGGCCTCTTTGATTGAGTAGACCCTGAGGGTTGACCCTCAGCTGACCTCTTGGTGGAAACAGAGGTTGATTTTTTGCTTTCTGCCAGCTTTGAAATAGGCACAGCATCCTCAGCTTCGGCATCTGTAGCCTTGGCTTTAGGCTGAGCCTTTTTAACTCTCTTTGGTTTGGGTGGGAGCATTGATTGCGTTGGTACGGCTTCGGCGTCAGTTGGAAGATCGGCGAGAAGGTCTTGAACGACAGGCCTTGGACGAACCATCTCGGCAGTCTTTACAAGCCTTCGTCGACGTTTACGTTCAGGAATTGGTATTAAGTAGGGGGCCGAAGTTGATGGAAGATCGGCTGGGTCAGATGTGGACTCTTGATCTGTTCGGGATGTAGAAGCAGTTAAGGTTGTGGCTGTAGGTGGAGAAAGACTCTTCTTTCTTTTTCTTGGGACGTCGGGTAAAGTGGATTTATATGTAGGGATGAAGTTTAGTAACAGTGGGGCC